CAAGAAGTGCTGCTATCTTTCACACACTAAATCTTTATTCAACTGCACAAGAAAGGACTATGTTCGATTATTTTATTTAGTTATATTTGAGCATTTTTTAATTGAAAGGTATGCAAACTTTTACATTATTTTAAATATTTCAATATTATTTAGCAAAATACAAAATTTGAACGAAATCAGTCGAGTAGCTCCTGTGAAATTAAATTTTAAATATTCAACTGTTTTGAAACTCGATTTCTCAGAATTTAATCCACCGATTTTGTTTGAATTTTATATTTTGCTATATAAATATATACTTTTCGAAATGATGTTAAAACCTGTATGTTTTACTCATCACCATTTTTTTCAGTATTATTAAATAAAAGAATAAAATTTAAATAATTAGTAAAACTTATTTCCGCTTGGAGTAATCTTTGAATAAACAAATTTCATAATTGTGTGTAATTTATTTTCCAACTCATTTCGAATACTCTCGTGATATGGCGAACTATGCGAAAAGTAGAATGAACAATCAGGGGTTCAAACATTCTACCACTCTTGTGGGCAAACTATTGAGATGTTTCCAGGTTGTGGATCAAGATTATATTATGAGGATCAAAAATTCGAATATGTCCGAAAAAGTAAATTTTTTTTCAAAGAAGGTGTGCTTTTGTGTCTTATTTCGTAACTTGACATCTGTAACCGTCTGCACTAATAAATTACCATTTTTGAAGTCACCCCTTTAAACTATCAGGGCTGAGTCCTGAAGGTGAAGATGCGACCATCAGATCAAGGTATCATTAGATCATTAAGCCGAATGTTTCTTTATTTTGGCTCACAGTACATCATGGTTTTTCTTCTTTTTTTTAGATACTGCTCTAAATAAAATATGCACCCTTATGGTTCAGTGGCGCAAGTATATTTGGACTGGTCAATGTCTAAGAAAATAGTCTTATTTTGGAGATTTTTGTAAGACCTAGACCTTTGAGGCAGAGGTCAATTGTATGGAATTATATTCGAATACTTAGTGCATTTACTCGTTCCACAAAAAGTATTGCCAAATTTTAAATTGACGTGTTTTTCTCATATTCCAGAAAAAATTCAGTTTTGACTCTATCTTTTTGTCACAAAATTTAATATAAATATAAAATATAATATAATATAAATATAAAATATAATATAATATAAATTTAAATTAAATATAATATTTTTCTTGTTAAATTAATAATTTTAAAACAAACAATTGCCCGAAAGTAATATAACAATAAAAGAAAAAATGTTAATTTTAACTTAAATAACATTCCTAAATACAAATAGCATCTCAAAAATTTACCAAACCTAAACACGAGCACTTTATTTGCTTACAAATTTTACATAATTTGGTTTTCTTTTAAGTTATTATGTGAATGAAGTTATTTGTGTGGTTGGTTGACAAGTCTTTGGTATTCTTGCCATTGTATTCTTTTTACTAAAACACGTAACAGTTTTAGAAACTTCAAATCAATTTGCATGTTCATTTTGTAGTAAAAAATTATTTTATGTGGTAATGGTGTTTTACCTATTTCAGATGCATGTGCCAAAATATGCCAAAATGGTGCAAAATGTACTAAAATTGGAAAATATGAATTTTGTAAATGCTTACCTGGAACTTTTAGTGACGATTGTGGAATAGTACCCGATTGTATTGATGAAGTCATAAAGTGCAATGAAAAATCTGACTCAGTTTGCGGCTATAATGTACGATTAGAAGTTGCTGAATGTATCTGTAATAATTCAAATTTAGCGTACGATCTGAAAACAGAAACTTGTAAGGGTAAGTAAAAAAAAAAGACTAATGTTGTTGTTGTCGTAGTCCAGCAAGCAGGGGAGCGATTGCTCTTGTTTCCCAGTGGCGCCATCTATGACCAAGAATACAACTTCTACTACACCCATACGTCGCGCCTGCTCATAGGGAGCAATCTTTCATACATCCATCCCTAGATCGTAATTTTGACCTGAACCGGAGAACGATTTATCTCCAATTCAATATCCCCGAGGTATAATTTGTTATGAGAACATGGAGAGCTCTGTGAATCGACAGATAACTTGCACCTGTCATTATTTACTACATGGGGTGTCTTTGGTAGACTGGATTCGAACTCACGTTGTTCTCACGAACGGGTCCAGTGACCTGCTAACCAGGCTATCACGGCCCAAAAAGACAAATAACACTGGGAAACAAACTTTGGTTGCATTTATACAAGTATTTGATCTTTTCTAATTCAGGTGTGGGAATTCGAAATATGAATTTAGTTTTGATGCTAAAGTTAAAAATTCTTTAAATGACTTTTTTCCGTCTATTTTTTGTCAATATGTAGAAGTCTGAAAACGTTATACATAAAAGGGACTAGCTTAAATGTTGCGACAAGCTTCTAGAGAGTCGCATCATCAGATTTAATATTGGACAGGAATACCGAGCCAGAAAATAAATGTCTTTTTGCGCCGCCAGCGTCACTTCCCTATTATGACCTCTTCAAAAGCACTAGAAAAAATAGTTCATAATAGGGAAGCGCCACCCAACCTCCGTATGAAGACATTTACGGGCATGGGTTCCTTTGCAATTTTAATCTTGATGACATGGCTAACTCCCCTTAAAGTTTTTATTTCCAATGGCAGGCCAATTTAAAAGAACAAAAAAGATAAAATAACAAGAAAAACAAGGCAAAAAGAGATAAATAGAATAGAATGCATAGTGACATGCTTAGCCCATACGGGCCCTAGCCTCCCAGCAGCGTCCACACACAGTAGTGGAGAAGAGCGCAGGACAGACGGAAATATGGGGCAAGTCCACGTCCTCCCCAAGGCGACAGAGCGACATTTAGGACAGTCAAAAATGTTTATACTAAAAAGGTGTTTGGCCAGACCGTCATGGCCCGTTACAAGTCTAAAGAGAGCAACTGCCTTAAACCTGAGCTGATTTGGGATAGTTAAAATATGGTTGAACCAGGTTTTGTCTATATTGCTTGTACGGAAATTCTCTAAGAGCATATTCCGGCATTGGTTTCGAACCAGCAATTAAAATGAGTGCAGAGAGATGGAGCAGCGAGATGCTTGGGCAATAATTGTTCCTTTCTTGGCCAAGAAATCAGCTTTTTCATTACCCCAAATCCCGCAATGTCTAGGGATCCACTGGAGGGCGATTTACTTGCCTTTTAGTGTCAGGTCTTTCAGACAATCAATGCATTTCTGAATGGAGATGAATTGGGGAATCAGTGGAGAATTAATATCAAGAAGTGCTGCTTTAGAGTCAGATAAGATGACGGCGCTAAAAAATTGGTCAGTACGACACTGTAGTTGTTTTAAGGCAATTAGAATAGCCTCGATTTCACTGTCGTAGGCAGATGCATAGCAGTCAACAGAAGCAGCCCTAGAAGTTTGTCGCAACATTTATGCAATACCTTGTTATACATAACACTTCTAAATTTGTACATTTTGACAAAAAAATAGACTAAAAATATCATCTAAGAAACTGTAGTTTGGGGAGAAAGATTTGACATTATCGTTACGAAAGTATCAAAGATTTTTCACGAAACGAAAACAAACAAAAAATTTTTTTCCCAGTGTAATTTTTCTCAACAAATTTATTGATTTCCTAAGACTATATAGTGAAATTTTGGATTGATTTGCAATATTACATTGCTTTGAGAAAGAAAGGAGCCCTAATAATGAGATAAAACTGTTTCATACTGAGTTTTCCGTAATCATCGCTCTTGATATAGTCTTTTAGAGGCTTGTCAAGAATAATGCTAAACGCGTGTACACATTAGGGGTAGCAAAATAACCCTGAATAGAGAGGGAAATGTTATCAGAATTTGATGAGTTTCCATTGTAGAAGCAGAAACGGAAAGCATAAAAATCTATTTGATTACCGGAGAAAAAAGAGAGGCGGTAAAAAGCAATTAATACGAACATGTCCAAGTTTCTTCGAGCAATCGAACTGGTTTAGATGATTTTCATCTCATCTTTTGCTCTAGTAATTAATATGTTTGTGAAAGAATTTTTGCATGGCTGAAATTTTCATTTATGATTCCTTATTAGGCACCTTTGGCATCGTTTTTTACACGGATTTTAAAACACAGATTTAGGGTGGTAATAACGAAAAATACTGCATTTTTATTTAGTTCACAATAGCATGAATTATGAATTGTTTCTTTCATAACTTAGAGAATATTTGTTTTAAACAAAATGACATATGATTAAGCAAAAAAAGAATCACGAAAAACTTTAGATGAAAAAAAAAAATGAAAAGTGAAGCCTCCTGTTATGGACACTCCTGAAAAACGGATACCTCTCAATACGGACATATTTTTAATTCCCCGGGAATCTTCTATGAATAAACCATTATGTACAATCTCCTCAAAGCGGACACTCCCTTAACAGGACGCGGACAGTCATTTTTGCCATGAAACGTTATTTTCCATCTCTTCAAAGTGGACACTACTTTTTCTAAATTTCAAAAAAAAAAAAAAAAAAAACTATTTCTGCTTTAAATTGCAAGAAAAAAATATGCAACTTTCACCATTTTTAAAGCATAAAAACCATAACTAAAATATTGTTTAACTCTTTCTCTACAAAAGAATCAATCTTTCTCCTGCCACCTTTCCTTATCTTTGTAAAGAAAGGTAAGAAAATGATACTGCTCTTGTGAAATAATTCGGACATCGGCATCTTTTGATCTTTTCATCTGGATGACACAGGTTATGAGACCCCTCATGTTGAAATGACGTCTTAAATGATCTCAATACTTCTTCCCCATTGAAATTTTCTTTCAATTTCTTATCACTTTGAAGACTGTATTTAACAAAGTTGGGGTAGAAAAGAGAACAGGATGCCTTTGAGGTGTTCATATAATCTAATCTTTGAGGTGTTCATATAAATGAAACCTTTATTGAGACACTTGATAGATGATAAATTGTGAATAAACAACTCCAGCCCTCATCACTTACAGGTATGCATTGTTATTTTTCTGTGAATCATGGGAGGTTTACTTTCAAGGAGATATTAACCACATTCATAATCAAGTAATAGGTAGGTGTTAGGGGATGTAAACCTAATCATTGCATCCGACTGAGGACTAAAAGCTCCTATTCGGTATCATATGTCTAACTTGAGTATCTGTGTTAATAGGAAGATTATATTCATTTATCTGTAGCTACATCTAGAATTGTGTATTTATATCAAATTCTTTTTCACCTTTTTTAAAGTTTAAATAAATATCCTTATAAACAGTTATTGCAGATTATTTAATTATTTCTATATCTTTGAAAATATCCTAAAAACAATTTACGGTGTTGAATTTCGTTATGACGGTGTTTCGAATACCCTTCCCGTCAACGGACAATGTTTACGGTCCCAAGAATGTCCTCTTAGTGGAGGTTTCACTGTATATATAATTTTTACATTGGTGTTTACCTTAAATAAGTGCATAGAAATCTGTAAGAAGTAGAACAGATTCAAATTTCGGCATAAAAGTGATATTTTATGAATGAAAAACATTATTTTCTTCAGATGCTATTTTCGGACTCTTAGAATATACATTTTCGGCAAATTTTATTTTATTTTATCACCGTCGTTGAGCAGTCGGCCCAATTTTCCATCCAAGTATGACTGAGTTTGCGACTATCAGTGTTCAACTCCGTAGCCTTTTAATTTTGAACCTGAAGACAAGGGAACTACGGTATCAAGTCCTTCGTGGAAGACTTTTTTAACGGAACTAATCCGTATCTGCGTAATGCGGAGAAGAAACACACGAAAACCTCCCTTGGTTAGCTCAGTGGCAAGATCCGTCTACCACTGGGGATATTTTACGTCAGCACTCTGGTAGGTGCGAGCCGGAATCGGAATACATATCCATTATCCATCGCTGGGATTCGAACCCAATTAACCTCATCTTAAGGCGAGTGCTCTATCCTCTGAGCCACTGAGGCTCAGTATTGGCTAATTGAAATATATATTTCGAATATTTTTGTCAAAAGAGAGATTGAAAGTTCGGACTCCTTATTCTTTTTACTGCTATCTGAACTTCTCGAATCTCAGGAGCAATTTAAGTGAACAAAAAAAAAGAAGATTTTTTATCAGAAATTCCCAAAAACAACCCAAAAATAAACGTTCAAGGTGTACAAAAAAAAACCTTTATTACTTTATATACTGCAGTCCGAAATTTTTCGAACTGAAAGATAAACAAATTTTTTTATATTATTTAAAATTATAATTCTTAACATTTTCCACTGTCCAATTTCTGTTTTCGATAAAAATCAGCAGATTTTTAAAAAATTTTATTTTACTTTCAGTCACTTGTAATGAAACAGAACCATGCAAAAATGGAGGCACTTGCAAAACTGTAGGAAACTATCACTTTTGTGACTGTATAGAAGGTACTTTTGGAGACACGTGTGAAAGTGTGAATTCCTGCGTTGAAGAAACATTGATATGCAATTCAGAAAGCGGTGCTGTTTGTGGATTTAACCTATTGGATAAAAGAGCAGAGTGCTTGTGTAGCAATGGATTAAAATATGATTCCAATATCGATTTATGCAGAAGTACGGCATACTTTTGATTTTCTTTTACATTTCCTATTAACCTAAACAATATTATATACATAAATTAATCAATATAAAATATTTCTGTCTTTTCCAGAATAATATCCTTTCTTTCCATCAGACTGTTTGACGCTAGCTTTGCAAAAGCTATTATTCAGATAAATCATAGTTACATCTTACGTTAGATATATTGCCGTTACATTAGATATATTATTGTTATACTCAATAAATTAAAAATATTTTCTTTATATTAGGGTTCGATCCTAGATCCACCGAGTACATGTGATTTACATACTCGTAAAATCTTTGAAGATCCTGCGGTCGATCGCTGATCAGTACCATGGGTATAGGCAGCTTTATTTCCTTCCCCTTTTGTTTCATGTCTAAATTGAGGAAATGGCCTCAAATATTATGGTTATATTAAACGAATTGTTGTTATATTACATAAATTACACTGGGGAATAATTTACTTTTCCTGTTACTGGGGAGTTCTGAACTAATTTCTGAATATTTTTAGGTCATTGATTTCAAATCTGTATTCACTTTCTCTCTACAATACAGTTTTTATGGAATTTAATAATACATTCCAAAACAGGATTTCGTAAAATTCATGAAGTGACCTTACTTCTGATCAACATAAAGAGTATATAGTTCAGCTGATGAGATGCGTTAAAATCATATGCTTGTCATGTGTTTTTCAATGGAGCAGAGAAGTGCATATGTGCAGTGTGCCAAAAAGAAGGAATATCCTGAATAACTTTTCATCTAATAATTGAATTTTTATCTTATACAGGGTAACAAGAAAATATAGGGATCATTTTCGAATGCTTATATTTCCAAAATTTATTACATTAATTCAGCGATGCTTCTCAATATGTCGACCTCCGGCATCATAGATTTGTCTACAACGCTTCGGCCATG